GCCTCCAAACCCTGCTCCTGCATCCCTGAGAGCCTCCAAACCCTGCTCCTGAATCCCTGAGAGCCTCCAAACCCCGTTCCCCATCCCTGCCTGTCTCCAAACCCCGTTCCCCATCCCTGCCTGTCTCCAAACCCCGTTCCCGGTTGTCTGAGTTGTTTTCCTGTTCCCAGCCCCAGCCCCGCCCTCAGCACAGGCTCTGGGGCTGCGGAGCCCTCTCGCCCCCAGCCTGTGGAAAGTTCTGGAAATCGGGAAAAATCAGATCTGGAAATCTGGCACTCGGAGCATGATAATCGGGGAGCCAGCGAGGGGGACACGGGATGGGACCGCGCAGAGCTCCAGCCTGGGATACCGGAGGGGGCAGAGGTGCCGGAGTTACTGGAGTGAGAACCGTCTGTGTTCCGGCCCAACGTGGACACAAAGGCACGACACAGGGCTCATTATGTGCCGGGAACCCCTCCCCGGAGGCATTATTATGGCCTAACCTTTGATCAAGAGCAGAGAGAGGCTTAAACCGGCTCTGGGGATCTCAACAGTGGCAAACTTCTGATGCACATCTCCGTCTTGCCGGGCAGCTCTGTGTCTCGAGGAGGACGCGTCTCCCCCCGCCCAGCGGATGGCTCAGTGTCCCCCTGCCCTGCCCTGCCCTGCCCTGCCCTGCCCTGCCCTGCCCTGCCCTGCCCTGCCCTGCCCCTCTCTGGCCTCTCCCGGGGTGCCAGGGCCGGCCTTGGCTGGCTCAGGGCTGTGCCACCCCCGCCGATGGCACCGGCTCCCGGGGCTGTGCCGGGGGACGTGCGAGTCCTCGGGACTGCGGCTCGGGAAGGCTTCGGGAGGACAAACACGCTGTGAGAGATGGCTGAGAAATGGGAAAAGGCGTGGGAAAGGTGCCCGTGAGCCGCTCCAGCCCTGGATTCCCTGAACAGCCCTGTGCCGGCAGGAGGAGGTGACACCAGGTGACAGCAGCAATGCCAGCCCGGCCCGGGGCTCAGCGGGCAAGTTCTGCCAGGGCGAGCTCCCTGTGCCCATCACCAGCCATGGGCACCAGCCCGCTCTAAGGACAGCGGAGCAAACAATGTTTTAGCACCTCTTTCCCGTCTTCCCTTACATTCACAACAGTGTCCAGATGCTTTTATTTTCTTTTTTCCTCTTTTTTTTTTGCACATATCCAGCTTCCAAATGGGAGGGTTGTCCTGCCTTTGAAGGGAGGTTACTTTTATTGCAAGGTTTATTGGCTTCTGTAAAACTTCTCACCTCTTGGCTGCAGAGAACGCCCAGAGCAGAGGGGAGGTGACAGGTCCCGGGTAGGGTGGCAGATTTTGGGCAGGGAGGCAGATTTTGGGCAGGGAGGCAGATTTTGGGTAGGGAGGCAGATTTTGGGCAGGGAGGCAGATCTCAGTCAGCTGCTTTTCCCCTGGCCCAGGGGGAAATGATGCTCCAGGGCTGGGGGATCCTCCACAGGAATCCCCCAGGGCTGATTTAAAATCCAAGTGTGCAAAAGTCAAAATACAAAATGCTCTGCAAGACATAGTTGTGCTGCCATAATCACTCCGGTGTGTAATTTTTGGTTTATGCGTTCTTTGGGGCCAAGATCTGGCCCTGTGTGTCAGATTATTAAATGGCAAATTAAGTCAGTTAATAGAATTAATTGAGTCGATGTAATCCTTTTAATCAGATGGATTTGATCCCTTTTCAGATGAATTAGAATCCATTAACAGATAAGTCAATTATTGGACTAAATTAAATCTAATAATAATGCCTGCTGCTCACAGCAATACTAATTAATCTAAATACACTTACCTATCTCCCAAGCTTGGTTTTTTTTAAAGGCTTAATTGATGTTCCTAAAGTGCTCTGAGATCTTTAGATAACAGATGATCTATGTGAGCAAAATATTATCTCTTAACAGACTATAAACTAATTAAAGGACTGATCTATTTACAAATTGCATTTTTACTTTAATCTCTTCGACCTATTCAGAAAGAATTTGCACTGGCCCAGAAAAACAATATTCCTATTATAAGCTTATTATTACTTTACAGGTTCCTAAGTGGTCCTTTCATTCAGAAAATGAAAGGGTGCACGAGAAAAAAACAACCATTAAAGTGCTGACCAAAAAAAAAAAAAAAAAAAAAAAAAGGACCTGGAACCTTTATATTCTACCTCCGATAAATGGTACAGATAGGGAAGAGAGGGATCAGTGACCTGAAACCTTAGATCCTTTCATTTATTTTCATTTCACAAAAGGCAGAAGACATTCTATCCTGTTTGTTCAGGACTCTGCATCCGGCGCCCTTGGGCAGGCAGGGCTCTCCTGCTTGGCTGGAGGCGTTTTCGCCTCATTTGTGTTTCAGGGTTTGGGGTTTAATTTGTCCTGCGGGGCGCTGAGCGCTGGCAGCCCCGGCGAGAGCGCTGTGCTGCTCTCGGTGGAGGGAATTTGGATTTTGGGAGGGTTTGGGGGTCCCGAAGGCTGTGCTGAGGTGTGGGGGGCGCATCACTGCCCGCACATTCCCGGTGGGTCCAATGGATCCAATGGATCCATCCCGGCTCCCTCGGGAGGTTACAAACCCGCATTTCTAAACCTGCCCGCTGCTGGGCTCCCTCGGCTGCAGCTACAGCCTGCAGGCTTTTTGGGGACCGAATAAACACAGGGACCTGGGCTGCGAGGGGCAGGGCATAGAGGGGACATCAGCACAGGGGGACATCAGCACAGGGGGACATCAGCATAGAGGAGACATCAGCACAAGGCACCGGGGCTGTGCCAGCCCCTGGATCCCCCGGGTTCGGTGGGTTCGGCTCGGAACTGCCGGGGGACAGGAGTTTGGGGAGGTTTGGGGGCTGCAGAATTTGGGTTTGAAGGGAAGGGAAGGGAAGGGAAGGGAAGGGAAGGGAAGGGAAGGGAAGCACTCCCCACACAGATGATGCTCCTGGGGCGGTGCAGGGACAGCAGGAGCTGTGACAAACGGGTGTCACTTCCAGCCCCCGCTGCTGCCCGGGGATGCCCCCGGAGCTGCCCACGGACAGCACATTACAGCTGTCTAGACATCGCTCCATCCTGCCAGAGACCTCATTTGTGGTACAAGTGGGCTCTGTTCCACGAGGAGGTGTAATACGTGTGGAAAATATTATTATAGCAAAATAGCCTCCTTTAATTGAGTCTGAGTTTTGCAGGATTCCTTCCTAGGTTGGGGTAATCCAGTGCTCTCCAGAATTAATGGCTGACATAGCACTTCTCCGGGCTTGGCAGCATGACAGCTAATTTAGAACTCCCTAAACTCATTTCACTAATGACTCCCATTTGTTCTATCTGAAAGCCTGGAAACAAATGCAAAATACCAGTGCCATTGTCCCATCTTTAGCAAGTCATTCTCTCCCCTCCGTATTTCTGGCACCTTAACAGCAAGCTGCCTGGGGAAATCTGATTAACCCGTTCCCTTCCTGGGATAGTTTAAATCTATTTTGATCCCTCTCCTAGAAAGAGCGGGAGTGAAAACAAAACTCCTTGTGGCTGGAAGGCTCAGAATTTATCTGC